TTCGCAAACTTAAGCCCCTCCACCTGGCTTTTTTTACCGTTGCACCCTTTCCACCTTTTCTTTTACTTCTATTGACGATCAACTTTTCATGGCATCACCCTTAACTAAAGTTTTCTAGAGTGAACATAAAATTCTGAAGTATTGTTTTTCAGAGCCAAACGGAACGGAGTAGTGCAGTGAGCGATCAACAAAGTGACAGAAGTGGTGGACAGGTCAGGAAGAAGGTCACCACCTATACCAAAGAGACCTACGATCGTAATGTGGTACGAAGTCGTACCACACCCGATGTGGACCATTCACCCCTGCCACAAATGGAACCACAGAGCGACAGGCGCGATAACGACGCTATCAGACCCATAAAGAATCCCCAAGTGCACACCTACCATGACAGCGTCGATGAGAAACATGTCGACAGGGGCTTCCAACGTTCAGAAAAGTCCGAGGAGCACATGGAGAAGGAGACTCACGACAGCACCGTCTCATAAGCCATTCACTTCGCTCACAGCTACGCGTGGCCGATCGTCTGTAATGCTATTTACACACTAACAAACCACCTACACAATAATCTAAATCTATTTGTACTGACCACATAATGGAATTTGTCGGTATTCCCATAAATTACTAATAAAGCTTCACAATACTGTCTTTTCATTTGAGGATGTTCTCGGGAGGGTGAATAACGGTCGAGGAATTCCTCGACCATGGCTCTCTACTGTGCGAGAGTAGTGCCGAGAGTGAACGTACGCGCGGAGAGCACAGACGGCTCGCGCATGGCGAGTGTGAATGTCCGCGCGGGAGAGCGTAACTGATCAGGCGAAAATCCTCGACAAGCCGTTGAGGAATCCTCGACCGATATTCGTATATTCTGGTTCTCAAAACTCGGATAATCTCGGTGAAGGCACCTAAATTCCATGATTGATCTAGGCACATCAATAGTTTTTGGGCGCTATCCCAAGATAGGGGGCATTGAGGGGTACTGCATTTGAAGTCGCTAACTTTTCGCCAAACTTGAAGTTCACGTTAAAATCAGCACTAAGCCTTGAGCAGAAGACGACAGATGCCAGGAGACGCGAGCATTTCTAGTTTTCCCCGCAGTTCCTGTCCCTGCCAAGATTAGTCCGAGGCGATGCCTCCGTTTCTTGCGATAGTGCCCGTTTCAGGACAATAATTGAGCTTCCCATCAAAATGAAAGTCCGACGCTAGTGTCCAATAGTAGGGTGTGGAGGGGCAAGGATGCGGCGCAGAGCACTCGAGGCTTTCAAGACCACGACAATTACTTCGATACATGCTCGGTCCCTTTCTCGCACTGGCCAAGTGGTTCGCGTACTCTGGAGCTTGCTGTCCTCTACGAAAAACTGGATAGCTTTGCTGGGACGAAGTACCGTACCACGATGACCCCACCCTGCCTTCTCCTCCGCCCATAGTATGCCGTTCATACGAATTGAAGGGCGGAGGTAGTAGGGCCTTGTCACTTGTACTTGTAAGTACTAAAGCTGTTGTCGGCGACGGAAAGGCCAACGGGGCCGAGTGTCTGCGTCTCGCTCGTCCCCTATGTTCTTTTTTCTTCTTGCTCAATGTGTTGGCTATTTTATGGCACATCAGTGCCATAAAATGAAGGTCCTTCTTGCCGATGCTTTCAAAGACTTGTTGGCTTTTGCACTGACGGTCCACTCTGCAGCCCAACCTTCATCTGTATGAGGAATAAGCGCATCTGCGTGATCGTGATCTTACATTTACCTTCGATGTGTATATTTCAACATGGTTATCGATATGGCGCCCGTATAATCGATATCCACAGCTCATATGCAGATTTTGCGGTGTAAAATATGTCGTCGAAACCGTAGAATGTCCTACACAAACACATCCTGGCGTTATTTACGACAGGAGTTCTCACGCAGCTGCGAAACACTTCAGGCTGTTTCAACAACAGTTAGCGACGTCGCAAAGTCTGACAGCTACGTGGAGGAAACCTATCTATAGCAATGAGAGTGAAGTGCATGCAAAGTGACTGAGTTGGTGGTATACAGCGGTTGTCTACAGCCCAAAAGAGAAGAGAAGCCATAAGCCGAATCTGCACAAAGAGAAGAGAGAAGTGTTATAAGGCCGATGTCAGACTTTGCGAATCGCGCGATTCGCTAGTAGCGAATCGCGCGATTCGCAAAGTCTGACATCGGCCTAAAAGTTACTGCATACATTGCTTTCCTACCGTCTGCCAAAATCGAGTATAACGCCGCAACTAAACTGCACTATGAACTGTGGCTTGGGATTCATGAGCCGCCGATGGTT